CCCCCCCCCCCCCCCCCCCCCCCCCCCCGGTCTGAGCAGCACCAGCGGCACGAAAGGGGCTGACCGGGGCACCTCCGGGGAGGGAAGCCCCTGGACAGCATCCGGGGGTCAGCTGGGGGAGCCCAGGCTTACCTTGGACCTGTGTCTGGTACACGATGAAGTAACGGGGGGTCCCGCAGCTCTCGAACTCCTCCGCGCTGCACTTCTGGGCGCAGAGCTGCTCGTCCTCCCGCTCGTGAAGCGGGAAGCGCGTGGTGGGGAACCCGCAGTGGCAGGCGGTGCCCGCAAGGGCCGCCAGCGGGTACTCCTGGAGCGGGACACGGGGAGGAGGGAGGTCACCAAGCCGCGGGACTGACCGGGCTCCCAACGCAGAGGAGAGCTGGCGTTCCCAGCGTCCCCTTCGCGGCCAACTTCACTCTCACAGCTCGGCCCCTCCCTGCGCGCCTCCTACGCGGCTTTATTAAGGTGTAACTGACAAATAAAACCAGCACCGGCGTCCACCTCCACGCCGTAGCTGCAAACACTAGAGAAGGAAAACCGTGTGATCCAATTGCATCGAGGCCCCGAGCCGGGTGGGCTCCGCTTTTCCTGCAAAGGCGGAGACTAGCGGAAGGCGGAAAGTACTGGAGACACCTGAGCTCCAAGAGGAAGCTTTCTCCGGGAGGACCGGAAGGAAAACTTACCAGGAAACGTTCTTCTCACCGTCGCCCGCCCTGCCACCGTTAAGTCCCCCGGGCCCCAGGGGGGACACGAAACCCATGCCTTGGGAGAGGCTGTGTGAGCCCGTTCTTTCACAACAAACAGGATACTGACAGCCACGTGCAGCCACGATTTCGTGGCGACAGCTGCTCCCAATTGCTTCATTTGTCCCGAGGAGCCGCGAAGCGGGAGCGGGGGGGGGGACTTGGATTCGGAGGGGACTGGGCTGCCCCTTGCCCGACTGGCCTCTGCTCCAGATCCGCAGCCCTGAATCCTCCCCGATAGCGGGTCCCAGGAATAATCTAGTAACAAACCAATTCAGCAAGCGTGGCACCATAGGATCGGTTTCTTTCTAACAGACATTGAATAGGGACTTCACCTCTTAGCAGAGACAGAGAGAAAGAGAGGGAGGGAGAGACCAAGACGCTGGTACGCAGGTGGGTCTGCGTGGGCCGTGACTGATGGCATTTTCTTTAAATTTTTTTTTCAACATTTATTTATTTTTGGGACAGAGAGAGACAGAGCATGAACGGGCGAGGGGCAGAGAGAGAGGGAGACACAGAATCGGAAACAGGCTCCAGGCTCTGAGCCATCAGCCCAGAGCCCGACGCGGGGCTCGAACTCACGGAGCGCGAGATCGTGACCTGGCTGAAGTCGGACGCTTAACCGACTGCGCCACCCAGGCGCCCCTGATGGCATTTTCTAACAGGTGATACACAGCGAGCCTCCCCCGATATCCTAGATCTCCTCCACCCGTGGCACCGGCAGTGCTGTACCCTCAGTCACTTAATCCCCGGGTTTTTTTTTTCCTGCGACCCCCTAAGGAGATCAGAAGAAACTGGAAGAGGGAGGTTTGCAGGGGGGGACTTCCTATCCACCCACATACCCTCAATTCCCAATCCCACGTGCAGTCTGACCCTTTGTTACACGCTGCTTTGCCCTGGGACCTCATTGTCTCACTGTTGGCGTCCCACCTGCAGGCTTCGGGGACCGAGGACTGTCCACCTGGAGGGGATGCCATAGAAGAGGGGCATCCATGCCCACCCGAGAGAGAGAAAGCTGGATCAAAAGCTGGTCAAGCCTCCTAAGCCTATGAACTTGGCCCCTGACTTGCCAGGAAGTCTCTTAGGAGCAGCAGAGTAAGCACTCAGGAAATGCTTGGTGACTTGAAGTTGCCTGCCCGGAGGCTCTGGAAGCCTCTCTGGGGAGGGGGAGGGGAGGTCTCTAGGGTAGCTCAGAAATTCAGAGCGTAGGTGTGGCAGGGGCCTTCCCCTGTGCGGGCCTTGGTTTTTGTCATCCGTGAAATGGGGGTGAAAATTCTCGAGTCTAAGCCTTGACGTGAGAGGTGAAGCGTGAGATCCGTGCTCGGTGAGTGGCAGCCCTCCGCGTTCCTGCGAGGTGTGCCTCATGGATCAGGGGCCCCCGTGAGGGCTGGGCCAAGCAGGACAATTCAGTGCAGGTGGGGCATTCGGGAGTTGGGGTCCAGGCCGGAGCACCCAGCAGGAGCCACGAGGCAGGCCCCCCCACAACCGCCAGCATCTTTGAGGACAGACACGCCATCTTGGTGACCGTGCATCCCCAGCACCGAGCACGGGGCCTGGCACAAAGTAGGTTCTCGGCATGGGCAACCACCTTTCTGTGGTGGGGGAGGGGCGCTTCTGCTCGTGCAATGAGCTCACCTTGAAAGAAGGACTCAGACATCACTGAGTGCCAGTGTTGTGCCCAGCTCTGCTCTGGGTATGGGAGGGGGGGCATCAGTGTTCACGGCACAGCCCCTACCCTTGTGGAGTTTGCTCTCTGGTCAGGGAGGGAGGATCTCGGGCTGAGAAAGGACCCACAGATCATCTAGTCCAACTTCATTCCAACGCCCAACGTTCTGGATGCCACACCTGCCCTGACTCGACGTGCTTGCCTCCGGTGACGGGGAGCTCACTCTGTCCCAGAGTGGGGCTGCCCTTGCCTTTCCCTGACAATCGTCTACTCATGCCTGTAGGCCCAGTTAGAAGGTCAGCCTCAGGCCTGAGCATTCCCCACGATTAGAACAAACCCGCTTCCTCAGGGGGAAAGAAATCGGCCCCCTGTAACTTCCGCCCCTTAGATCCACAGGAAACTGTTGCATTTCTCTCCCGTGTCACACATCAGAGGGATGACCCCCTCATCCTGCCCGAGCTGCGGCTTCTCCAGCCAAGCACCCCCTTTCCTCCAGCTGTTCCACACTGCCCCCCCCGCCCCCCCCCCCCGGAGCTCTGTGAACAGGACCCTGGACTCACCTTCTCAGTGCAGAGATCCACGCACTTGTCCACGGACATGTTCGGCATGGCGGCTGTCACGGGCAAGGCCAGGGAGAGGTTGTCGGGCCTGCGGAAGCAGCCTCGGAAGACTGCGCTTCCATCTGGAGGGCCAGAGGGAAAAGCAGTGGTCAGATCTCAGCTTGGCAAACCACTTTCTAAAGAAAGGCGCTTTTATGTATTTTTTAATGTTTGCTTATTTTGAGAGAGGGTGAGAGGGCATGTGCCTGTGAGCGAGGGAGGGGCACAGAGGGAGAGAGAGAATCCCAAGCAGGCTCCACGCTGTCAGCTCACAGTCCAACTTGGGGCTCGAGCTCACCAATTGTGAGATCACGACGGAGCCCAGATCACGGGTCAGACGCTTAACTGACTGAGCCAGCCAGGTGCCCCGAAAAGTGCTTTTAAATCGAAGCCCAGAGAAGGCAAGAGTCTTGCCCAAGGTCACACAGTGTACCAGAGTGGAGACGGATCGGCTACATAATTCAAAGTCTTCTCAACCCCGGCATCCTTGTCAACGGTCCCGCGATGTTCCTGTGGGGTCCTATTGTCCCCTTTTGTCAGTGTTCCTGTGCCTTATTCATCCTCCACAACGGTCACCCCCCATTCAGGGGGATGATACACGCCATGGAGGATTTTCGTGATCCCCTCAGGAGACGGCTGCTCGAGGATCAAGGGAAGCAAAGTACCCAGGGCTGTCTTCTCCCTCCCATCATCCTCTGCCCACCCAGTGCTGAGCACCTACAGGTTACGAGGGACTGATCTGCCGGAGGGACCGCCTTTAAGATAACCCGATCAGGCACACAACAGGGAATTCGGAGGCCGCACAGTCACCCCAAAGCAACAGGCAGCGATGGTGCCTGAGCCCCGGTTTGCCACGAGCAGGACCTGAGACAGTGTTTTCTTGAGGTGTGCTCTCAGGAGAGGGGGGCGGGGGAGAAGCAGGGCAGGAACCGAGCAAGGATGTCACCTCGGCTGGGTCCCACCCAAGCATGGAAGACAAGCCGTGCCACAGCCGGTCCCACTGCAAGGAAAGGGGCCCGGCCTTGGCCGTGTGTCCCCCCCTTCCCTGCCGCACATCAGATATTGACCGCGGGACACAACATCCCGGGAGAGCCTGCTCCTCTGGGGCCAAGGTTTATTTTCACGCAAGTGGGCAGACGTGAACCACTGGCTGCTGGCAGTCGCTGCAGGGAAAGGGGACGTGGGTGGGCCCCTGTGGCACCCACTGTGGGGGGCACACAGATGTATAAATAAGGACGTTCCCCACCGCACTCACTCGCATTAACACGTGGAAGACTGGGAACCGCCGGGTGCCCAACGACGAAGCACCGGGCAAATAAAACACAGACCACCACCACAATGGGACTCCATGCGCCCACCAATAATAACAACGGCATTCAAGCCTCCTTTAGAGAGCTAAAGATGCATTCAAGATGCTAAATATAAGCAGAGACTATCAAACTGCCCATACGACCAAATATCAATTTTGTACAAAAGTGATCTCTCAGGGGCGCCTGGGTGGCTCAGGCGGTTAAGCGTCTGGCTCTTGACTTCGGCTCAGGTCACGATCTCAAGATTCTGAGACGGAGCCCCACGTCGGGCTCTACCCTGACAGCACAGGGCCTGCTTGGGATTCTCTTGCTCTCTCAAAATAAACATTTTAAAAAGGTTCATTTATGTATTTATTTTTAACGTTTATTTATTTTTGAGAGAGAGACAGTGCGGGAGGGGGAAAGAGACAGGGAGGGAGGCACAGAGTCCGAAGCAGGCTCAAGGCTCTGAGCTGTCAGCACAGAGCCCGACGCGGGGCTCGAACCCACGAACCGTGAGATCATGACCCGAGCCGAAGGCGGACGCTTAACCGACTGAGCCACCCAGGCGCCCCCATAAAAAAAGGTGCTTTTTTTTAATAAAAAAATGAACCCTCGACATTAATCTCTAGAGGGACCTACGCAAACATGTTGACAGCCACAGTCATCTCTGAACGGCAAGCATGATGGTCGTTTTATGTCAACTTGGCGAGGCTATGACGCCCCAGTGTTTGTTCAAACATACGTCCAGGTGCTGCTGGGAAGGTCCTTTGTAGATGTGGCTAACATTTATAATGAGTTTACTTTGGGAAGACTTACAGGAGAGTTCCCTTGAGCACAAGGGTGGGCCTCATCCAATCAGTTGAAGGCCTTAAAAGCAAAACCTGAGGTTTCCCAGAGAAGGAATTTGGCCTCAAGGCTGTGGCATCAACTGCTGAGTTTCCAGCCTGCTGGTCTGCCCTAAAAATGTCGGGCTTGCCAGCTTCCACAACTGCATGAGCCAATGCCTTAAATAAGTCTCCTAACGTATATATAAATAAAACTCCTACAAGTTCTGTTTCCCTGGAGAACGCTGACGAATGGAGTAGCAGTATAGGCAATTTTTATTTCCATCTTTTTAAAACCCTTTTCTTGGGGCGCCTGGGTGGCGCAGTCGGTTAAGCGTCCGACTTCAGCCAGGTCACGATCTCGCGGTCCGGGAGTTCGAGCCCCGCGTCGGGCTCTGGGCTGATGGCTCAGAGCCTGGAGCCTGTTTCCGATTCTGTGTCTCCCTCTCTCTCTGCCCCTCCCCCGTTCATGCTCTGTCTCTCTCTGTCCCAAAAATAAATAAAAACGTTGAAAAAAAAAATTAAAATAAATAAATAAATAAATAAAACCCTTTTCTTTTTCTACAGTGAATATGTATTTTTTCAATGTCATTAAGACAAATTTAAAAGTTTTTAAATGCCCCTGTCAAATTTCCCAAAAGGTTCACGATGCCCACTTAATTTTTTGCTGTTGTTTGTTTATTTTTGAGAGTGAGAGCGAGGAGGGGCAGAGAGAGAGGGAGACACAGAATCCAAAGCAGGCTCCGGGCTCTGAGCTGTCAGCACACAGCCCGACCCGGGGCTCGAACCCATGAACCGTGAGATCATGACCTGGGCCGAAGTCGGACGCTTAACCGACTGAGCCACCCGGGCGCCCCCATGATGCCCATTTAAAATTGAGGTCAGCCGTGCTCACGTTTGAGTTATGTGAACCTTTCCAGAACACGGCTTTCACGTAAAACCAAGGACACCGTTCACACAGTGCAGATCAAAACCAGGAGCACAAAAATAGACGTCAGTTACCGAGTGCCTACCACGTGTGAGCTGCTGTGCTGGGAACTTCACAAACATCACCTCACTGCACCTTGGGGAAAACTCTGGAAGGCGGGGGGCAAACTCTCATTTTGCAGCCGACAGTGGCAGGACTTAGACCAGGAGGTCATGGGACCAACCTAAGGCCCCCACCGGTGGCAAAAACTTACTATGGATCGCTGTCAGCAACAAAATGTCAGCCCTTCGGAAAAAGGGAAGCAAGTTAAAGTTGCAAACACGTATATGCCCCCACTCTATACGTCTGTCTCTGGGTCTCTCCGGGGAGTCAGCCCGCCCTGTTGGCATATACACATCTATCCACGTTCACGTGCAGGAAAAGAAAGGGCTACGGAATCGCTCCCCAGGCAGAAAGACGGTGGAGGAGGGGGAGGGAGGGAGTTCGGGAACGATCGGCTTAAATGTCAGCTGTCACCCTAGTGATTCCTTCTACCACCTGGCACCCAGTAGCCCGAAGTCATTCCTCGCGGAGGCAAATCTAGCAAACGGAGAAGACATCTGGAATTTGGTTAAATGGCTCATTTCCAGAGCGCGCCGCAGGCTCGCACCATCCAGTTCTCTCTTCCCTGCTTTCCTGGAGCCCTCGCTCCTGCTCCAGGCTGGGGAGGGAGGTGGCGGGTGCTGTGAAGGCTGGGGGTGGCCAGGATGCTGCTGACTCGCCCTCTGGTCCTCCAGGCCTCGGTTTCCCCCCTTATGCATGGCAGGGTGGGGGACAGACTATGCAGATTGCTCTTCTGGACAGGACAGCCCTCCAGCCCCCAGATGAGGAACTGCTACCCCCCAAAGGCCACCAGTGTCCTGTGTGGGGAACACGCGACAGGCTCCCATCCCGTGGCCCAGGATGCTCAGAGGGAAGCCCCATAAACTCATGAGTCATCCCGAGGAAGATTCGATGATGCTCAGAGAATGTGCTACCCAAGGGGAGGTCAGGGAGGGGAGCCAGGCATTTGAGCCAAAGACTCGCAGCAGTGAGGTGGGAAGCCCAAAGCAGGTGCACGGACCCTCGCTTACCCAGAAAACTCAGCTGTCAGCCCACTCGGGTCACAGGGCAGAGAGACCCCGCCTTGCTTTTAGAAACAAGGGAGTTCGCCTTCTCTCTTCAACTCTGCTACTATTCACTGAGTCCCCACTGATGCCAGGCTCCCTGCTGGGTGCCTGGGATCCACTTAACCCTCACAGCACCCAGATGGGGTAGATGCTGGGGCCTCTCCCGTTTCACAGACGAGGCACCTGAGGCTCAAGGAAGCTGCCTTCCAGTGGCACAGAGCGATCAAATAACGGAGTGAAATGGAAGCCAGGTTTCTCTGTCTCCCAAGTCCATGCTCCTTCCAATAATACCGATGCTGTTATGATAATGAGGCGCTTATAGTAATATCAGAGTATCCCCGTTACGATTGTGGCTCCTGAATTATCAGTCGCGTGCTGTCCTCCGGGAACCAGGCTGAGCGCTCCCAGGCGCGGCCTTGTTGAACACGCACATCGGCTTGCGATCTCAGGATCCCCATTTTGACAGATGAAGAAACGAGGCTCAGAGGGTTGAAACCACTCGACACAAGTCAGCTGTGCCACTTGAAGAGGCAGAGCGGATACTGGAATCTAAGTGACACGTCTCCTCCACTCTGGAGGGTATTATCGGAGGCTGTGTGCCAGGCAATGTGTAAACACTTGATATACTTAAAAAAAGTTTTAGTGTTTACTTATTTTGAGAAAGAGGGAGAGCGCACACACACAAGCAGGGGAGGAGCAGAGAGAGAGGGAGAGAGAAGCCCAAGCAGGCTCCACGCTGTCAGTACAGAGCCCAACGCGGGGCTCGATCTCACAAACTGGGAGGTCATGGCCTGAGCTGATATTAAGAGTTGGGCTCTTACCCCACACACCCTAACACTTGATATACTTGGTCCCCTAATCCCTACAAGGAAGGTCTCTTTCTTCCCCATT